CAGGGGGGGTCCCCAGAGGACAGGGAGGACTCGGGGGGGGTCCCGGGGCGGCGTTACCGTCGGTGGGCGAGGTGCGGAGGCGGCGGCAGAGCCCGTGGACGTCCCCGTAGGCCTCCTGCACCTTCAGCAGGGCTTCGGCGCCGCGCAGCTCCATCAGCGCCCGCAGCTCCGCCAGGCTGCAGCCGAAGCCCCCCCCGGGGCCGGCCTCCCCCGCGCTGTTGGCCAGGTCCCCCATGGCGCCGGCGGCCTGCGGGGACACGGGGACAGGGCAGGCTGGGGGGGCGCGAAGGGGACGGGGAGCGGGGGCATCGCTGGGGATATGGGACGGGGCTTGGGGACATCATTAGGGGCAAGGGACGTTGTTGGGGACGTGGGACACAGCTTGGGGACAGCCCTGATGGCTCGGGGACATCTTTAGAGGCAAGCGACACAGCATACGATTTGGGACATCGTTAAGGACGAGGGACATCGTGGGGGACATTATCAGGGATGAGGGAGGTCGCTAGGAATGCAGGGCATAACTTGGGGACATCGTTAGGCACGAGGGATATCGTTAGGGACACAAAACATGACTTGGGGACATCATTAGAAACAAGGGACATCATTGAGGCTGCGGGACATCGCTAGGGTCACGGGACGTGACTTGGGGACATCGTTAGGGACACGGGACGCCGCTGGGGACAGCATTAGGGACACGGGACATTGCTGGGGACATCCCTAGGGTCACGGGACATGACTTGGGGACACGGTTAGGGACACGGGACATCACTAGGGTCACGGGACATGACTTGGGGACATCATTAGGGACACGGGACATGGCCTGGGGACATTGCTGGGGAGCAGGGGCGCTGCCGGGGGTCTCTCACCTGCTCAGCGGTGACGGTGACGGTGGCGGGGCCTGGGGGGGGTCATGCCGGGGGGCCCCCCCTGGCTGGTCGCTCGCCCCCGCGGGGGGGCCAGGCCATGGACGGCGCCGGGGTCAGGGGCGGCCGCCCCCCCTGCCCGGGCCACACCTGGGGACACGGCCGTCGCCCGCGGCCCAGCACGGACCAGTCACTCCCAGTCCGTCACCTCCCTTCCCCAGCAAAGCCCTGCCCCCTCCCTACACACCAGCATCTCCCAGTCCCCCCAGTGACCCCCAGCTGCCTCAGAATAGCCCAGTCCCCCCCAAAACTGCGAGTTCCTCCAGATCTCCCAGTAACTCCCAGTTCCCCCAGTGATCTGTTCCCACAACAAATCCCTCAGAAACTCCCAGAGCTCCCAATCCCCTCAGCAAATCCCAGTAGCTCCCAGTCCCCCCAGTAACCCCATTCCCCTCAGTTCCCACAGTAATTCGCAGGCTCTGCAGAAGCTCCAAGTAACTCCCAATTCTCTCAGCAAATCCCAGTAGCTCCCAGCGATCCCAGTAACTTGCAGTCTTCTCATGTTCTCCTCCCCCAGTTCCCCCAGTAACCCCCAGTACACAATTGTCTCAGTTACTCTCAGGAGCAACCAGTTCCCCCAGTAAATCCCAGCAGCTACCCCTCTTCTTACATTCTCTCTCCCCAGTTCCTCCAGTAAGTCCCAATCCGTAACACCCTCAGTAAATCCCAGTAGCTCCCAGCTGCCCCAGTAACCCTTACTCCACAATTCCCTCATCACTCCCAGTAACCCCCAGTCCCCCCAGTAACAGTGAGTCCCACCAGTTCCCACAGTAAGTCTCAGTTTCCCCAGTAACGGCGAGTCCCACCAGTTCCCCCAGCAACTCCCAGTTCCCCCAGTAAGAGTGAGCCCCACCAGTTCTCCCAATAATGGCAAGCCCCACCAGTTCCTACAGTAACTCCCAGTCTGCCCAGTAGCTCCCAGTTCCCCCAGTAACGGTGAGCCCCACCAGTTCCCCCAACAGCTCCCAGTTCCCCCGGTAACGGTGAGCCCACCAGTTCCCCCAGTAGCCCCCAGTTC